GCCCCACTTCCTCCTCTCTCCTCCTGCATGGACGCCCCACTTCCTCCTCTCTCCTCCCGTGTGGACGCCCCACTTCCTCCTCTCTCCTCCCGTGTGGACGCCCCACTTCCTCCTCTCTCCTCCCGTGTGGACGCCCCACTTCCTCCTCTCTCCTCCTATGTGGACACCTCACTTCCTCCTCTCTCCCCCTGCATGGATGCCTCATTTCCTCTGGAATTGCAGCCAGTGCTGCCCTGGCTCAGCCTTCCTGTGGCCCCTGTGGAGGCTCCCACTGCTCAGTAAGGCATTTGGGGCCCTCACCTCCCGGCATGAGCTGAGCACGGTTCATTTCCCACACTGGCTTCCTGCCTTTGCTCTCCCTGTGCCCACCGCCCTGCCTGGCCCTGCTGCTTCCTGCTGCCCCTCTGCACCCCAGCTCCTCTCTGCTCGTCTGCTGTCCTGTCCTGTCTAGTTTTTCAACGCCAACCTTGTGCCAGGCACATTGTCCCTCTCTGGTCATGTGAAGCATTTAATCTATTTTGAGCCACCTCTTGGGCCTTGTGAGGTCTCCTGCATCTTCAAGGACACGGGGTCAAAGCTGGACACGGGGTCAGAGCTGGGCCTGAGGAAGGGACCTGGGCTAGGGCAGCGCAGTGGGCATTGGGCTCCCTGGGGTCTGGGCAGCCTTCCTGGAGTGGGAGCTTGGTCCCCAGGGAGGAGGGCCTGGGGCCCGTCGTGGGGAAGGCACCAGCCTGAGGTGTGGGCACCCTTGTCCCCCAAAGAGGAGTGCCCGGGGCTGGTCCCACAGGTGCCTGGGGGAAGGCACCAGCCTGAGGTTTGGGTGCCCCTTGTCCCCAGGGAGGAGTGCCTGGGGCTGGTCCCGCAGGTACCTGGGGAGAAGACACCGGTCTGAGGTGTGGGTGCCCCTCGCCCCCCCGGGAGGCAGGCCCGGGGCTGGTCCCCCAGGCTCCTTGGAGGTGGCACCGGCCTGAGGTGTGGGCACCCCTCACCCCCCAGGGAGGAGTGCCCAGGGCTGGTCCCGCAGGCGCCCGGGGGAGGCACTGGCGTGAGGTGTGGGCACCCCTTGTCCCCAGGGAGGAGGGCCCAGGGCTGGTCCCGCAGGCTCCTTGAAGGAGGCACCAGCCTGAGGTGTGGGCACCCTTTGCCCCCCAGGGAGGAGTTCCCAGGGTTGGTCCCACAGGCATCCGGGAGAGGCACTGGCCTAAGGTGTGGGCGCCCCTTGTCCCCAGGGAGGAGGGCCCGGGACTGGTCCCACAGGTGCCTGGGGGAAGGCACCGGCCTGAGGTGTGGGCACCCTCGCCCCCAGGTTCTACTGGGACTTCACCATGCTGCTGTTCATGGTGGGAAACCTCATCATCATTCCGGTGGGCATCACCTTCTTCAAGGACGAGACCACCGCCCCGTGGATTGTGTTCAACGTGGTCTCGGACACCTTCTTCCTCATGGACCTGGTGCTGAACTTCCGCACCGGCATCGTGATCGAGGACAACACGGAGATCATCCTGGACCCCGAGAAGATCAAGAAGAAGTACCTGCGCACGTGGTTCGTGGTGGACTTCGTGTCCTCCATCCCCGTGGACTACATCTTCCTCATCGTGGAGAAGGGCATCGACTCCGAGGTCTACAAGACGGCACGCGCCCTGCGCATCGTGCGCTTCACCAAGATCCTCAGCCTCCTGCGGCTGCTGCGCCTCTCGCGTCTGATCCGCTATATCCACCAGTGGGAGGAGGTGAGGTGGGGCGGGGGGCGGGGCTATGAAGGTTCTGGGGTGGAGCTACAATGGTGCAGGGGCGGGGTCAAGGCCACCAGGGCGGGGCTACGAGGGTGCTGGGGTGGGGTCAGACATCAGGGGTAGGGCTGTGAGGGTGCTGGGGTGGAGCAACAGTGGTGCAGGGGTGGGGCCAAGGCAGCAGGGGCGGGGCTATGAGAGATCTGGGTGGTGTCCAGGCCCCAGGGGTGGGACTATGAGAGTGCAGGGGCGGGGCTTTGAGGGTGCTGGGGTGGAGATACAACGGTGCAGGGGTAGGGCCAAGGCAGCAGGGGTGGAGCTCTCAGGGTGCTGAGCAGGGTTGAGGCAGCAGGGACAGGGCTATGATGCTGCTGGGGTGGAGTAAGCACTAGGGGCGGGGCTATGAGGGTTGTGCTGGGCGGTGTCACACAGCAGGGGCGGGGCTATGAGGGTTGTGCTGGGCAGGGTCAGACAGCAGGGGCAGGGCTATGAGGGTTGTGCTGGGCAGGGTCAGACAGCAGGGGCAGGGCTATGAGGGTTGTGCTGGGTTGGGTCAAGCAGCAAGGGTGGGGCTATGAGGGTTGTGCTGGGCAGGGTCAGACAGCAGGGGCGGGGCTATGAGGGTTGTGCTGGGCAGGGTCAGACAGCAGGGGCGGGGCTATGAGGGTTGTGCTGGGCGGGGGTCAGACAGCAGGGATGGGGCTATGAGGGTTGTGCTGGGCGGGGGTCAGACAGCAGGGATGGGGCTATGAGGGTTGTGCTGGGTGGGGTCCAGCAGCAAGGGTGGGGCTATGCGGGTTTTTCTGGGCGGGGTCAGGCAGCAAGGGTGGGGTTATGAGAATTGTGCTGGGTGGGGTCAAGGAGCAGGGGTGAGGCTGTGACGATTGTGCTGGGCCAGGTCAAGTAGCAAGGGCGGGGCTATGAGGGTTGTGCTGGGCGGGGTCAATGAGCAGGGACGGGGCTATGAGGGTTGTGCTGGGCGGTGTCACACAGCAGGGGCGGGGCTATGAGGGTTGTGCTGGGCAGGGTCAGGCAGCAAGGGAGGGGTTAGGATTTTTCTGGGCAGGGTGAAGGAGCAGGGTTGGGGCTGTAAGGGCTGTGCTGGGCGGGGTCAAGCAGCAGGGGCGGGGCTGTGATGGTTGTGCTGGGAGGAGTCAGGCAGCAGGGGCGGGGCTATAAGGATTGTGCTGGGAGGGGTCAGGCAGCAGGGGTGGGGCTATGAGGGTTGTGCTGGGTGGGGTCAGGCAGCATGGGCGGGGCTATAAGGGTTGTGCTGGGAGGGGTCAAGGCAGCAGGGGCGGGGCTGTGATGGTTGTGCTGGGAGGAGTCAGGCAGCAGGGGCGGGGCTATAAGGGTTGTGCTGGGAGGGGTCAGGCAGCAGGGGTGGGGCTATGAGGGTTGTGCTGGGTGGGGTCAGGCAGCAAGGGCGGGGCTATAAGGGTTGTGCTGGGAGGGGTCAGACAGCAGGGGCGGGGCTATGAGGGTTGTGCTGGGAGGGGTCAGGCAGTAGGGGCGGGGCTGTGAGGGTTGTGCTGGGCGGGATCAGGCAGCAAGGGCGGGGCTATAAGGGTTGTGCTGGGCAGGGTCAAGCAGCAAGGGCGGGGCTATAAGGGTTGTGCTGGGAGGGGTCAGGCAGCAGGGGCGGGGATATGAGGGTATTGGGGTGCTTTTAAGCAGCAGATGCAGGGCTGAGGGGTACTGGGTGGGGCCAAGCCTGTAGTGGTCGGGCTGTGGCTGTGGGACCAAGGCCACGAGGGGCTCCAGGATGAGGCTCCTGCAGAGCAGGAGCAGGGCAATGAGGGGTGTGGGGCTGCGCTGTGGCTTCAGGGGTGAGGCTGTGAGGGTACTGCAGGGGTGGGGCCACAGCCACAGGGTCAGGACTTTGGCCACAGGGGCGGCGCCGTGGGTGAAAGTCAAGGCCACAGCTGCAGAGGTGTGGCCATGAGGAGGGCGGGGCCATAGCTTGGGGGTGTGGCTTTGGCTACAAGGGCGGGGGCGCACAGGGCACTGGGACAGGTGTGGAGGTGAGTCTATGAGGTCTCCAGGGGAAGGGCGGGGCAGGGCTGTGGGGTGCAGAGCTATGAGGGCCCCAGGGACTGTGGCCAGGGCCACAGAGGTCAGTAAGGCTTGGCCGTGACAGGAATGGACGGGGCCACAGGGAAGGACAGGGCGGAGTTATGGGTCCCAGCAGGGGCGGGACACAGGGCGGGCCTCGGGCTGCCGGGGTAAGGCTGGGGGGCGGGGCTTAGGGCATTGCTCTGCGGGGGTGGAGCCCCAGGTGGGGGCGTGGGAGCTGCTGGGGCAGAACCTGGGTGTCCGGGGAGGCCATGGGGGCCAGGGAATGGTGTCACCGGGGCGGTGCGGGCGCAGCACGGACCCTTGGACACATCCATGTCCCTATTATTCATTCTGCTGTGTTCAAGCTCTGGGGAAACTGAGGTCAGAGAAGCCAAGCCTAGTCACTCCCCCTCCCCCTAATTCCAGACCCCGCCACAATCCCGTCCTGGACCAAGTTTGTCACCCACGGCCACCAGTGGGGGCTTGGTGACTGTCCCGTGTCCCCCAGGCACCGCAGGCTGGAGGTGGGGGGCTGGGGGCTGGGGTCCTGGGATGGGAGTTGTGGATTTGGGCACGGGGGTCCTGAGGTGGGGGCCATGGAGTGGGGTGAGGGTCCTGGGGTGGGGGCCGTGGATTTGGGGCTGGAGGCTCATCCCATTAGCCAAGGTGGCTACAAAATTCTAGGAGAGAGTAACAGGGAGAAAGGATTAGCTACTGGGAGTGGCTGCGGGAGG